TCTGGTGACGGACGGCTGGAGTGATATTAACGGTGCCAGTATCATCACCTTCATGGTAGTTGCGCCGGGTATGCCTTCGTTGTTCTGGTCTTGCTCGGCACCAATCGTGCCCGGAGAGTATCGAATAACTCATCAATAAACGTTTACCACCAACCTTAATTATTGTTATCATTAATCGAATACGATAAGCAGCATCATATCGCGTATGACTTCTACATTCTCCTTGTATTACTTGGTAACGACCCCTGTACCTGCTCCAACGTCTCGCGCTTGTACTTTTTGAACATGAACGACTCAAACGGCTACGAGTAGAAGGCCAGGTAGTACCCCCAGATCCGGTAGTCCTGGATCGAGTCGTGCGGCACCATGAATCCCTCTCACAGCATTATTATGCCGAACACGTCGTCCTGCGCGATGCCAATGATGTTGCGCGGCGCGGCGTCGCCGATCAAGTCTTGGACACCACCAGCGGCAGGAACATGTTCAACAGGAAGTGTTCGATGGCGTTGAGATCCGTCAGCAGTGTCACCACCGCTGTCGACATTGCTGTGGCCAGGAAGGTGCCGGGCAACGTGTCCAGGGAATTTGGAGCACACGTAGCTCACAACGCTTAGCGAGCTTGTGGTCCACTCGCGCGCGAAAACGGCGCGCTGCTCGATAAAGAACGGAAGCAGAGGCACCGATATGAACACCAGGAACACCTACACGTAGAACAGCTGCGTCATCAAGCCCTCCTTCGTCAGGTCGTCGTTCGTACTCAGGTACATGGTCCCCACCATGAAGCCCAGGTAGGTGTACATGAACACGTGGATCCAGTAGATCCCAGGGTTCCGGATGTTGTTCAACCTGTTGCGGTACATGAGCACGCTGAACTGACACAGCGACGACGGCGACGGCTGCTCAATGTCCGGCTAATGCTGCGGCGTCTTGCGGTCGCTCTTGATGCGGTTGATCAGTTCCTTGCGGATCTCACTCTGGGTGTACGACTGCACCATCTGCGGGACGTCTGCGTGGTCGTCGAAGTCTGTATTCACTAGACTGATGAAGTACTCGGCCGGGTTCATGTACTGCGGACAATTGTAGCCTGCTGACGCGAAGTGCGGAGTCATTTGGCGACAGGAGCCACAGTACACAGTCTGACCAGTCGACAGCGCTACGATAGTGGGCTGGTTTAGGATGAGGGGGCTTGCGTTGGACAACAGCTCGATGGCGATGCTCAGCGGTGCTTCTGGTTGACGTTTACGACGTCATGCTGGTGCTGTGAAGATTTCCAGCAGCGAGTCCCCGACCTCAAGTATCTGGCCACGGCGCGGAACGTCTTGGACATGTGCGTCGACACGTCTCCGGAGACGAAAATG